TCTCTAGACTGCGTTCCAGATTTCCATGACGTATGCAGCGTGATAAAGTACACTTAACCTGGGCTCTTTTTGTTCCCCCTTGGAGCATTCCAAGTAACACACCGGGGGGCATTTTTTTCTTTGAATTTTAAAATATCCCAACAGCCGACACGACCCAGATGCAGCGTGCACCTGAGCGTCGCTGCTCTAATTGAAACGCGATCCAAAGATAATCCGTACCGGATCCACGCTTTATAGAAAACTCGAACACACGCTTTTTAAACTGAAAAGCTTCGCGGTTAAACTTTTGATTCGTAAGAAGTTTTCTCTGTATTCAGAAAAATCCTGCCAACTTTTATGTTATTAAAAGATTTGTTAAGTCGACACGAACGGTCGCTCTCTACGTCCGAGCAAGTAGTTTATTCGTAGTCGAACGCTATTCAATTTCTATTACTCACGCCCTTCCTCCTACAGATAATCGCGATTGGATGTAGCAGACTGATAATCCGGCAAATTTCCAAACGAGCGACCACATAATTCATAGGTACACGTTATTCCGTGTGGTCGGCTACAATCCTCTCGATCATCCGTTTCAACGCGAGAGAATGTCCATTTCTCTTCTATTCGCCTATTTACGCGATCGAATCGTGCCAAGACGCGAATATCGCTACTCGTATCGTTCGACAATACGATATCCGAACACGGACAACGTTTTAAACTTCTGACGAACCTTCGATCGATTTCGATCCATTATAATTCTACATAATAAAAATTCTTTCGATTCGTTGGTCTTTCCGAATCGAGAGCGTGTTATAGGCTGGTAGACTGTACCTTAATTAACCGCGGAAATCAACGAGACGTAAATGTAGTCGAGAAGCCATCGTTTCTAGTTTGTAAGTTACCTCGACAGTTCAGCAACGATAAGAAAGTTTCGCCGTACTTCCCGAAATTTGCGTTGCGCGCTGGATCATGCCATTAGTCGATTATATTATTCATGATAGATTACCTTAGACGCAGAGGAAGTTTGTGTCATCTACGTGTATCCATTACTCACGCTTGTCAGAAATTTCTTTACGTCGACATTGCTATTCGTAGCTCGCTTCGCGCTAAACTGAATTATTGGCTGAAAGTTTCGACAACGAACGTATTCGCCTAGCAAATCGAATAAGAAATTTTTCAAAGTAAACAATCCGACGGGATTTGATCGGATAAATGGCGTGTATGCCATATTAATTCGAAGCTTAAAATTTCATCGCTGTTTCATTAATATTCTAGATGCAAAATAGCTGGTTGTCAGTTACACAACCGGACAATGTAGAGAACAGAGAAAATCGCGTATTGTTGCTCGACAGACTTCTATCGACGGATTCCGCAACGAAGGCTACCGATAATTTCATACATTTTAGGGAAAATACATGATTTCCGCAATAATATGGCGTTAATTCGACGAATTTCGATCGATTCGAAGCGAACCATATAATACTGCACCGTAAATAGCGATCGACTAAAATCTACAGTTTTCAACGATTCTAAACTTTCGTTTCATTATTTTTCGAACTATACGATTCGCTTATTCTCTCATGGTCGAACGTATAAAATGCAACGAACGAAAAAAAAGAAATTATTCTTTAGAATTTAGAAGATGTAGTAAACCGAATGAATTTGCGGTCGAACAAGAAACGAAATAAAACGGAATGATTCAATTGCCTTCAACCGTTGAGAAATAATCGCGTTACCGCAATTACGATGATAATTCGATATCAGACAATAACGTATCCAGCGAAACGTATCGGCTCGAATCTACTCGACGCGAATGTAACGCTTCGATTTCCCAGTTTGATATACTGGTAGGCAGCTTCTGTGAAATTTTATGTCGAATTTTGCGATACGAAATATTACCGATTATCTATATGCTAGTTTGATCGTTTAAACGTATCGTATGGAAGGAGTAGTAATAAAGAGCGAAAGACTTTTAATGATATTCGGAATCGAAAAAATTATAAAGCGTCTAAAGCGTTTAAAATTATTATCCGGAAATTTAACCGTCATAAAACGATCGAAAGGACAATCTGCATTGTACGAGTTTTTTGTTCGCCTTCTTCTCGGGATCCTTCAGCCGTGTTCATCTTTTTTCTCTGGTAAAAAGTTAATTACCGTTAGTTACAACGTGTCCCGCGTAGCTTATATAGGGGCTTCTAATGAAAGCCTTAGGACGGCCTTAATAAAGCGCCTACAAGATATCAAGGAAAAGTGTCTCTCGTCCTAAAAATTCCGAAGATTCTATCTCGCCTGAACAACGAGCGAACCCCGTCAACGTTAAAGGAGACTTTCTTGCAGACTAATTTAATTATACATATACCGATTCGGTAAAAAGGTTTCGAACAGAATTACCCGAGTTTCTAAAGTAGCTACAATCGTTAACGTCCCCGACACGATGCCTTTCTTCCCTTCCTTTTTTTCTTTCATTTCGTTTAAAAGCAACCGATAAATAAATCTAAAACGACCAAAGGTTGAACAAATGGAATCTATCCTACATATTTCCACGCCCCGCCCTTTTACATTTCGATCCGACGATGCAACGTCGAGGTGTAGCTAGGAAATTTTTATTAACGTTTTATCGCGATCGACCCTTCCCCGTCGAACGAAATCCGTCCGAGTAAGAGCAAGAAAATTTGAAGAAAATAAAATGTTGCGCGAATAGCTGTTCGTTTCGTTAGCAACGTACAACGATATCCTTTAGGATACGAGGAAAATATGTAAACGAAGAAAGCTCTTTAAAGGAAACGAAGAATTTCGAAGAACAAGGACGCGACGGACGTCGTTGCCAAAGCGCCTTGAAATCTTATCGAACAACAGAAACGGAAGTAAATCGAGGTAGAAAGTTAAAACCAGCCGACTTTGCTATTCTTTGCTATCTGTAAGTGGACCTTAAACTGATTTAACGTAGTCGAATAGCTTCTCTTACGACTCACTGTTCGTTGATATAATCCAATTATTTATCGTTTCGTCGTTTTATAATCGTTTTATAACGATCGAAAGCTTCGAAGCAAGCGCAATTGAAAACGCAGGTGAACGCGGGTGAACTAGTCGGTTTGGAATAAGAAACGAATTTGATATTTTCTATGTACGTAGACGTTTTCACGTGTACGGAAAGCGGAAGAACGATAAAATTAATTAAGTCGCGGTGAAATCAGCGAAGAGCAAACGGTTGAAAATACTGTGTCCTTTGAAATTTCTATTACACGCTTATTGCTAGACAAGCTGGCAACAACGACTGTCCGACCAACGTCGAAGAAGAAAGAAGGTACTCGTGCTTTTCCATTTCCCTTCAATTTCCGTCAACGGCTACTTCCTTTATAAAGTTTTCAACCGTTTCTCCAGCCTTATTGTAAAGTATCACCGAAAAGATTGTGCATCTGACGCGCGTTAAACCGATCGGAAAGTAATCGAATTTTCTGAATGTTCGTACTCGCAAAATAAGCAGAAGATGTTCCGAAAAGTAAGAAAGATGTCTAATAATAATAACGAGATAACTATTATATTATTATAATAGTATATTCGAAATATTTGATTTGAAAGGACTTTGAGGAAGTTTTGGCAAACGCGACGATTAACGAGGAAACACGAGGTATCTGCAATTAACGAGAATACTCGAAACAAAGAAGCTCGAACATCGTCCGAGCAATTAATTGGCCATTCATTGGCTCGAACGGTGGCTTTGCGTCTGTAATTTGTAGCCCAGCGAATAGAAAAGAGAAGAGTCACGCGTCGAACAATCGGTTGTCCAGTGAAATCGATCGCTGTCTCGAGTACTTATCGTTTAACCCGTTGCCACGAAATGTCGGACCATGCTCGTCTTCTACCCGTAATAACGACAATTCGATTCGCTTTTCTCCCTTGCCAATGTTCCAGCAATTCGATTACCGATTCGACTAATTTTAAATTACCTAACCCGTATAAAACACGGTCTTCTTCTTTTCTATTCTCTGTCTGCGTATACCGGCTAAAAAAAATGACAAATTTATATTTCGAGATATTCCAACAGAAAACATCATTTTCGTACTAATTATTTTGTTGATTTTTCGATTATGTAAGTGCCGAAATACACGAAGAGTAGATAAAAATATGTGAACATAATATTAACGCGTAAAAAAAATGTTTTAGTTGGCATGAGTTTGTGGAAGAAGCGACAAGAGGTAATTTGTGTATCTGTAACATGTAGTGCCTATCTGCATATTCTCGATTCGCATCCGTATCCTTTTACCGATCACGAGTAAATTGCGCATAGTTACGCTGTAGGACTACGCGGAAAGGTTTTAATGGAACGAGGACGCTCCGCTTCGTTTCATCCCCTTGACACTTAGCGGTAACTTATGTAACAGACATTAACATAGAAAGTCCATGTTTTTCTCAATGGTCAAACTGTATTATTAGGTTGGCTAATAAATTTACGTTTCTCGCCTTTCAGTCGCGCGAACCCATCTATGTACAATATTTCTTTCGAGCATATTTACTATTTTACCGAATCGACTCGGACATCGCAGCGATCGCTCGAATAATCGTATATATGTATATAATTGTAGGTAGGAAATCTAATTTTAGAAACGAATCGGTGCTTATATCTTTTGGTTTTCAGCCAAAAAGGAAAAATCGAAAATCGTTGTATGCTGACATGTATCGCGAAACATTGGAATAATAAATACAAAGGAATGATAGGTCGATACGTTATCGGTTTCATAAAATTACGACGATAATGATAAGGAATTATGATTTGATTTGGTAGAAACGGCAAGTATTCGAAGGTTTGTGCGCAGGAAAGCAGGTACCCTCGAATACCGAGCGAAAGCTCGATATTTCAAATGTTTCTTTTGAAAACATAAATCCACGTAAAAGGGTCGAAAGAGTAGAAATTTTCACGATGAGAGGAAGAATCGTTAAAGGAAATATGGAAAGGGTTGGAACTGTTTCGGGGTTATCGTGTCCCGTTTATCGACGACGCTAATAAATTTGTCTAGACTTACCTATAGGTAATGAAGGCGAAAACTAGAGCAACCAGGGACAAACTTCCGCCCAAAACGACGATCAGACTCAAAACGCCGTCCTGATCGAACGAGTTGCCGATTCCTGGGGACATTCCATTGCCGAGTCCACCGTTCGATTGAGGAAACCCGTGGATCGCTCCCGTGTAAAGCGTCTCCATTTCTTCGTTACATTCGCATCTATAATTGCACGTTAACGAGACAAGAAATAAAGTTGTTACACATTAAATTCACACGATGGCTAACCACATCGAATCTTTCGGACGAACCGGTGGCTTTAAAAGTAACGTAAAATAACACTTACAATCTCGAGATTAGCGTTAACAGGAAATAACTTGGTTAATATGGTCGATGTCGAAGTAGGAAAAGTTACGCTCGAATCGATCGCATAAAACTATCGCTCTTGATTCTACTACTTACGATAGTACATTACATCGATTCTTAACGTAATGTACTATTAATTAATTATACTTGAAACAACATTGTTGGCTGCATACATATTTCTTTCGATACTGCTATTGTATTTCAATGATACACGTTGGTACGTTGAAACGTTCAAACGAACAAACTCACCGTCGAACCGATAATTCATTCCCCTCTAACGGATTATTACATACATTAAGTATTAATTCTCTAATTTAATATTCTGATTTGCCGTTTCAAATTCCTGCTATTCGTAATTGTCTATCGGAACAAACGAAATTTGTAACGTCGATCACTGTTACTGTATATCAGAATACGTATTAAAAGTTTTATTTTCACGAATGTTTGTGTTCGAACGAACGAGGAAAAGTAGAAAAAATGCGTTAAGTGGATAAAAGATAGGATCTTCGTTCGATTATTTGAACCTTAGCTCCCAAATATAATCGGCTTAGAGAACGTGAAGGGCTTTGATTTATGATTTCTATAGGAAGCAGCAGGGAACATGGAACGACGATTAAGATTTATACTCTCTCTTTCTCTCTCTATTGTATTTCGCGTACAAATCAGCCCAATTATTGCTATTTTATCTTACTAACTTTTTCTTGTAATAACGAACAATTCGTCGTTACGTTTCGCGGATCGAACAACGATAAAATTAGTACAAAGAATTTCATGATTTCACGAAACGCGCGTAGAACGTATAGATTCCAATTTTCCGATAAAAGCAATGATTTAATTATCGGAGAAATTCGAGCCGTTTCGATAATCATTCGAAACGTTTAGTTCTCTTAGTGATCGTAATGACTCGATAACTAGGTACATTTTGAAACTTCATAACTCCTTTTCTGTCAATTCGACCACATAAAAGTTTGACAAAACAATACTTGCGGTATATCAACTCGAAGCTTGAAACTTTTCCATACAAATTCTTAATAACAATTTGTTATTTGGGAAAAAAGCATCTGATCTATTACTATGTAATACAATTCTGTATGTAAGATATTATCATTAGTATAAGAAGATCTTTTTATTTTTAACTAGACTTTAATGAAACTTGTAGTTTCGTTATTGGATCGTGTGAAAGTTCGGATTTTCAGAAATCGGTTTGTCAGTTACGATCTAATCGTTCGAGAGAAAAATTCTATAAGTTGTTAGTTATAGTATAAGTAGACATTCGTACAGTCGATGAAACGCGGTACAAATTCTTTCGGAATTGACCTCTAACGGCGATCGATAGTCGTTCGATAACGGAAGATGAAATAAGTTGAAATCGAAGTGGAAGCAGACGAACTGAAAGTTTCATTTATTTTTTTTTCTTGCTCCGATAACTAGCGGAGAAAATGAAATTTGTTACGGAGCCTCGAGTATCACGGGGGGGAAGAGCAAATTGAAACAGGCCTGGTAATTTCCTGTAAAGAGGTGAATCAAAATGGCGCTCGACACTAGTAGCCGCAAATTGCGGCCATCCTTCGCGAAACTTGCCAGCAATACGAGACATTTGTAGCTACGTGTAATCAGCATTAACCGAGCAATTCTACCAAGAGAGTACGATATGAAAACGAAATACGATATTATCTTAGGTTACAGGGGTAATCGAATCGATAATCGATTTTTAATCTCATATTTTTTCATCGAAAGCGCATTTTCTTCTTGTTTTTACCGATGCACGCTAAATTCGATATTTCAGACTTTCGGTATCTGAATAGAGACGAACAGGTTACGATTAGAGCAATAATTGTACCGCTGAAATGAACGAAACTCGATAGTTGTATCGTTTTTCGAAAAATCGTTGATAGAAAGAGTACAACGACCGACGCGACGATGTTCCATCGCACTTTTTTCTATCCAGTTTCCACATGGATTCGGTGGTACTCGTTAAATGCGATGACCTTATCGTATCGGTTTCCGGTTCGATTCGCGAGAATGCTCGTTACCGTTTACGAATAAACACCCGATGTCGGTGCATGCTTCCTTTTTTTTTTTTTTTTTCTGCTGACACTTAATGGTTCCACCGATACTCGAATCTCGACCATTTGTAATAACGAAGCTAGCGTACTTTTACCGGCACGTATTCAACAATTTTTCTCTTCTCCCTTTCCTGCGATTTATCGTTAAGCGGTGTACACTACGTTGTTTCGTCTACCGCATTTCGCGGTAACAAATTAATTATTGTGGCTATCGATTCAACAGCCACTTTCTACATGTATACGTTATTTAGGTCATAATTTAGTTTAAAAATCTTTCTACAAAGTCAAATAATAGGTACATATATATTTACAAACATTTATGTATAAAATCTACATAATACATTATGTATTACATATTACTATGCGAGTATACCGATATACATACTTATGTATAAGTAGAAATACTTTAGGATTTTGAACGATACCGCCCTACTAATTCGTTAAGCAAAGAAACGATGCACATACGTTATTTGCTTTAGTAAAACCTCAATATGTGGTCGTTTCACAACTGTATACCGAAAGAGAATGAAACGCCATACAGTCGGAAGACTTACCCTACGAAGCAGAACGTCTCCGACGAAGGATATTCGAGCAGAACGGTTATCGCATGATTCCATGGATCGTTTGACGTTTCCTTGGAGCAACCACGTGTCGACACGCACACGTGCTCCGTAGGAAAGCGATCGCGCGTTTTTCGCGATCGAATTTTAAACGGTGCCCTTGATGGGATGGGATAGGACGGGATGGGATGGAATGAAATAGGATCAGATGGGACAAGCACCACGCGTTATTTCACATTTCCAGTATGCACTACGACCGCGTCGACAACCCCGACGGTATTTGCTAGTTCCGATACCGGTCGTCGAGATCGATCGGTTTCGCGAGTAACCTCGATGCACGATCGCTTTCGTTTTCCCTCGGAGGTCAGCATGCGACCAAAGTACACGCGAGTACCGGTATATCTGAAAATTCCCACCTGCCAACAATCGTTACCGCATTTAATCGTCTTTGTCACCGCTTTTCATTCACCGATTATTCATAATTTACCTGTTGAGTAACGACAGATTTTTATCGCGATACACGATATACTCCCTTTTTGTTAATGTTTCATCGACCTTTCCGTTTTAAGTCCCACCACCCCCCGGTACAATTAAACTAACAAACTACGAACGTAACATTTGCTTTGTTGCTAATTAAATCGGTGATGCCGATACTTTGATCGATCAGCCGTTTCGGTATCAGCACTAACACGCTAAGTGAAATACGTAGATTTTTGTCGTTTCAGATTCGACCAAATAAATACTTGCATTTCTTTATAGTAGAAGTCAACTTGTAAATTATGACACTCTACTATGTAATGCGAAACATTCTATAAACGGGTTAGAAACAATAGTTTTATTAGAATCGGTTAAACGCGTGTTCATCCACACTGTTTAACAAAATCTCACGGAAAAATGAAATACGTACGAACTGGACGAGCGACGGCGCTGAACTGCAACAAAATTTGTTCGCGCTCAAGTCCTTCGCGCAGTTCGTATTGCGCATATGTCCAAACAGTTGGCGAACAATAAAAATAGTCGACAAAAACTATTTTACAATTTAATGATTATTTCGTTTCGAACTTGTTTTTCAATTTCAACGATCCTACATAATATTATTAATAATATTTTGTTGAAGCAATCGATGAAAATTATTAATTACAACGCATCGCGTAAATATCGTCTGTTCGATAGATTTGTATAGACCCTTGGGAAAATAATTTTTCCTAGTAAAGGAATAATGTGAACGATTAAAAATTACAAACACATAAAAAACAACTCTTCGTTTATTTAGCACTTCGTACATACAAAAATTTGTAATTTTATCTGTTGCTATAAAATGTATACCGAGTAGAATAAAATCGATAATTAACTTTATATACAAAATTAACGTTAGATCTAAAAGTAAAAATTGAAATCCGTGCATACTAATACGTACAATTAAATTAAATACAATCTTACGCTGTCTATATAGACGGTGTATAATAATATCAGATATAAAATCAATTAAGTATCAAATCCTCGAAATTTCTCCTATTAATTTAGATACTTAATAGATACTATAGACGTAATAATACTAACTGTTGAAGTTAGTGCAGTAGACACGTGTCTATTTGTCATTGAATTATTAATTTACAATAATTTACATCCGTATCACAATAGTTATATCATTTATACCAGTGATTAGCAACTTCAAAAACAATTCCTCGACTTTAAAATTTTTCAATTTCTATGCTTCTAGTTTCCGAAATTTGATAGATTCCCGAAATTTTCGGAACTTTTGAATTTCTAAATTTCATATTTCTAAATGAACAAATTTGAAAAGCTGAAAATCTAAAAGTCAACAAATTGGAACATTTCGAATCTTCATGGATTTCCAATACCTCGTCATTGTATATACTATATATCTGTGACCTCTTCAATGGACTTTATTATGCCTATCACTGGTCTATACAATATACTAGAGTCCTTTAAAAAGTTCAAAGTAAAAATGAATAAACGAACATCAGTCTAAAGAACTATAATCGTTGCAAAATTCTATCTCGTTATACGTTTCTGCTATCCACCCTAACAAATATTTCACTTTTTCTGTTGTTTCATCCGATGCCTTAAAACCTGATATAACTTCTGTTAAACACTTCGACAAATGCTTCATAATAGACTAGAAAGTAAAAGAAACGATTAATAATTATTTGAATTAATGTTAAGAAACGGAGGAAAAGATATATTTACCATGGGCCAATCTTGTCTGAATAAAGCTACACATTGATCGCTAAAACTGTCAATGTCCAAAACGTTTTTCTCTATTAGCTTCCTAATAAATTTTCCAAAAAATGGCCAAATCTCTTCGTTTTCTGGTTGAGCTAGCAGCATAATATTTCTAGAACTAAACACTCTGTGCATAGGAGAATCTAATTCCATAGCTTTCCAACGCTCCATTGTCCAAACTCTTATGAATTTTTTTTGAACTTTTTGTGTGAAAAGATCACTTCGATAAGCGACTGGAAGTTCAAAGGTCATCGATAATAATGTTTTTCATAATATAATATCTTATTTAAAAAAGTCATACTCTTTTACCTAAAAATAAAGCAAAATCTGTACTGAGAGAATATAAAATCTTCTCTGGCCCCACAACTAAATCAGCTCTTTCGTTCAAACTTTGATATAAATTATCTAACACAGTTGATACAGATGTTATCGTTAGAGATTTCCCACCATTGTCGAGTATATCCCACATAAGCTCCTAGAAAAATTATAAGAAAAGATTGTAGTTCCATTTTATCGAAACGAAGGTCCAAAGAAAATATACAATTACTCTTATGTCGTCGGTAATATTCGTTGGACTGATTGCATTTGGATTGTGTTTCTTTTCTTGGAAAGGATGCAATGGTATATTGTTTTTCAAGAATCTGTTTAATTCGACTTCCATGTCTTTTATGAACAATGAGCCACCCACTATATGGGATTGTATCCACTGATGTATTCGTTCGGTGGCTAATCTTGTAGCAATTTTAACGCACATTTCTTTCACAGGGCTTAAAGAATCTTCAGCCAAAAGAGATTCTATGGCTTTAGTTACACGTGTTTCACAAATTGTCGGTATAGATATTTCACATTGCTCCTTCAATTCTTTAGACATATTTGTAGCCAATATATTCATGTCATTTATTATGTATGCCTTAGAAAATTTATTTTTTGTTTGCATTATTTATTTTATTGACACGGTTTCTTTATGAAATTGACAAATTTACCTTGAAATCCATTGCATCATTGAGTAACGATTCTTCTAATTTTTCCCATTGCCTTTCGCTTTGCTTCTTTTTCAAAATCTTTCGAAAGTTATTTAAGTTCGTTTCTCTAGAAGACATTAATAATGTGTTGCATATATGCTTCACGCAAGCAGAAGCAACCCGTTCAGACACAAAGTCAACCGTTTTGCGAGTAGATGCTGGTTGCCCATGAAAGAAAGCTTCTTCTAATTGCAACTGTTCACGTGTCAAAATTATAATACTTTTCATCGGGAGAAGAAAGTAAAATCAATAAACTTACCTCTAAATGCTTTACACCTGCCCCTCGGACAGATTTGTGAAGTTGACTAGAAACTGGTGTAATGTGTTTATTTGAATTGCAATTATTTAAATTTGCGTTAGAATTCATTACAGGTGCATTTAAAGCGGCCGAAGGGCAGCATATTCGTAGCGTCTTTTCATTAATAATATCTAATTTGTCTAAGTTATATTTAGCAGAAGTAACAGATACTATGGGCTCTCCAGACAACATATTCTTTTGTGCATAGTGTTTGTCAAACTGTTTGAGACTTTGCAATTCCTTAACTTTATACGTCTTCTGCCAAGAAGGATACAAATCCTTTGGAAAATTTGATAATTCAAATAACCAGCCTAAAGTTGATTTTAGAAGAATTGCTGTTTGTTGAGAGATAGGACTATCAGGTGCCAAAAAATCAGACTGATTTACAGCCTTATAAATATAATATAAAAGTTCTAAGATTTGCTTATAATATGGTAATCGAAGAGATACCGCATCCAACATAGCCAAGTATTTTGCTATCCAAGGTACAGTTAATGACAACTTTCCACATGTTATTGCATTATGAAGACAGAGGTGTAAATTTACTGTTGGTAAAACCTAAATAGAACGCATCGTGTTGAACTTGTTTATTAAAGACAAAACTTCTTGATTTGAGTTACTTACTTTACTTCTTACTTCTACTTGAGTTGCCACTAACTCCTTAAAATTATTCGATTCTGATCTGTACGGCAATGATACAAGAAGACCCAATACTTTTGCAAGAAGTTGTAAACTAGATAAACAAGTAATGAAATTTTGTTGAGTTTGCTCGTCGACTGTTGTGTCTGTTTTGAACAAAATAAATGATTATACAATTATACACAAAACATGTAAAACTTACAATATTATTTCAGTTTCTTAATACGTATTAATACCTGAGTCTTCTATTTCGCTACTGTTGAATTGAGTATCATTCAATTCCATAATTTCATGAACCAAACAATTTTCCAAATGAACATAAAAAACTGGATTGAAAGCGAATAATATAAAATCCTTGAAGAATTCTTGTACTCCTGGAAAAGATGGCCCTGTCACTTGATTTTTGGAAGGTTGCGGCGTTACTAATCGTTTTTGTAGTTGATCCAACTTTTTAGGATTAACACATTTCAAAGTTTTCAGAAAACTTATATTTTCATCGTCTATTTCTGCCTAAAAGTATTAAACGTTTTTAAAAAAACTGGAAGTAAAAGAATACACGATTCTTAAATATATAATGCTAATGTTTAAACCTACTTGTTGCCTGTTTTGTACACATGAAATTAAAAGTTGTGATTTAAATAATCGGGCAAAGTGGTAATAATTAATTGCATCATTGTGCAGTGTCAGCATAGTTCGTATTTTACTTCCCAAAGCTATTTGAAATGTCCACCCTGGTACCAAGTGATTCTCTTCCCATATTCTAAATATCTCATAAAATTTGTCTCGTTGGTTTTTAAATGTTTGAAATGTAATCGCAGATGGAAAATTTTCACGATTATCTGTGTCTATTTGAAAACATACGTTTAATTCACCCATTTTATGAATGTGCCTGTAAAAATTTAAAGAAATATATTGACCAAAGAATAACGTTTTGATTTCAATATAATTAAATCGTATATCTATTTCATATATATCGTATATTAAAAATCTTTTACTAAAAACTGAGATAAAATGAAAAGTTACATAAATATTATAACATAACTAATGAAAATGATTCAAGAGAATACTTTGAATACAAATTTTAGAACCAATACAAAAATATTATATTGTACATATACGGGAATTAATCTATTTCCGTCTACATAAATAATAAATATAATTTAAATCATTTTACCTGCTTTACATTTCACTTCTTATGATAAAATTTTATTTTTTAAACACATTCATTTAATTAAATCATCCAATACGTATTATCGATATCAGCTAGCCTTTGAAGGTTATGTTTATAAAACATTTTAACGTTACTGTACGACAAAAGAAACTTTGTGTAATAATTATTTATGAAGTCACAATTTTTTAAATAAGAAAATTATTCAATACTATAATTCTATTTTACGGCATACATATTTATACATTAATGTCATAGAATTCTATACACATTCTGCTTAATCAATTTCTGCTGTGATGCCATGCTAGACTGTGCCAACTTAATGGTATCAACCTCATGTTTACAAAATCGACTAGATTTACGATTGTACGAAAATAATAAATAAATAGTAACTTTTAATTTTTTATTCTTTGTAAAAATTGTGGTATATAATATTAATGTCTTTCTTTATTCAAAAAATATATATTTATTTATTGGATGTAAAAACTAAAACTTAAATGTAAAATATACAAATGCATAAAATTAAGTTATGGAAAATCATCAGAAGTTTGTAATTCATATTCGCTTGTATCTTAAAATTACTTTTGAGGACAATCGTTATCCTCGAGATCCAACAATAGGATAGCTAGCAGAGGAAGCAATACCGCAATGGTTGTCTATGTTTCTGGCCATTTTAATGTATCCCTTCTCACCCCAACTTTCGCCCCAACTATTTTTCACTATCCAATAATCTCGACCTTCTTCATCAGTTCCATATCCTACTACTAGTACACCATGATCTAGATTTGTTGAAGAACATTCGGGTTCGAAATAAATTCCTGCAATCCATATGCAATTTCGTAAATAAACATTCAACAAATTCGGAACTTTTTATCACTATTGTATATCATAAAGTAAACAAACCATCAGAATAAAATTGAAAAGATTGATGAGAAGCATCTATAGCAACAGATACTGGTCCTACAGTAGCTACTGCTGCTTTCAGTTTTTGTTCATCTCCTACAGGGATATCTACAAAACCAACATCAGAAGCACCACTGCTCCGCTTATCGTATCTATTAATGAAAAAATAAATTACTACTCAGAAAAACTTCTGGAATAAACTTCTATTATCACAATATGCACTTACCTGCATTTATCATCTTCACCTTCATATGGATAAGTTTTTTCGGTATCTAACCCTTTATTGTCTTTGATATAAGAAAAAGCTTGATCCATTAACCCGCCATTACATCCATTATTACCATAGCTTCCAGAACAATCAATTAAATTCTGTTCACTTAAAGAAACAAGAACTCCTGTTCGTCTGAAGTGTTGACCTTCTAATGATCCAGTCTATAATACCCAAAATTTATTTGTCTTTTCAAACAGTTTATTGAAGAACAAAAACAGTAATAAGCAAATAAAATTGTAATTTCTTTATTTGGCACAGAACCTTCTGAACACAAATAGACTACGAGTACATATTAGAAAAATATTTTTCATATTTGGCATATACCAAAAAATTCAAATAATGTTGAACATAGCAGTGTTAAGTGATAATACAAGCCATGACAACCTTAAGAGAAACAATTTAAAAGTGATATATTAATATTAAGAAACTATTCTAAATAAAACTTACAGCAGAGAATGCCCAGCATGAACCACAATGTCCTTGATCTTTAACCTCGGTGACAGCACCACATTTTCTCCAATCTACCATTTTAGGTAATTCTACGTTACATGGTTCAATAAATGCAGCACCTACAGGTAATCTTTCATTTCTCAATGTGTGATTTATGGTCCTGTTGTACCCATTTAACATATTTTTAAATTCATGATTAAGCTAAAAATATCAGACAATAGATAGATGGTAAGCACAGAACTTATTTATCTAATTAATTTAGTAATAACAATTACTCACCATATCTCCATATTTGTTTATTTTTAACCTGTACGTAACTTTTTTCAGTTCATAATCACAATTATGTTGAGCAATTTGAAGTTTGTTTTTCATATATATTTTCATTCTTAATCTTTCTTCTGCCTCATGTTTATAACATTTTTTATGTTCCATCTAGAAATTAATAATAAAATAATGAATTCCCTTCATAAACATTTCTAATATAAAAATGATAGATTGATTGATTGAATTTTATAATAATTATTTAAATATTTTATCTACAAATAAATATTTTATGTATTTATGAAAAGACACATTCATGAAAGGTCATATTTAATCTACCATCAATATGCACTGTGTGTACAAGGACATACAAATATACATATTAATGTCATAAGTTATCAGATAAAACTTGTGCTAGATATTGAGTATATAAACAATCGATAATTAAATCACCTTAAAATTAATCCATTCTTGATTCACCAATTCAAAGAAAGAAATAGCTTGCACTGCAGCACATGTTATCACGATTAAAAGTAATATTGTCTTCATGATTTTTATACTGAATCTGAAAATACGCATAAATTAAGTAATTTCTAAAATTAATACAATAATTATCATAATCACAAAAGTTATTTGAACTGTAAAATAGAATTGATTAATATCGATATACAATAAATATACTAATATTCTATGATCTTATTTATGTATATAACTGCATCGTATCGTGTATATATGCCTCGAGTTCTTTCATACACATATACATACATGTATACAAACAAACATCGCATACAAAGAAACAATCACGTGATACGTACTTTCCTTATAAATTAGGTGATACGTACTTTCCTTATAAATTAAGTAGTAATAATGCTTTCTTATTTAATATTAATGCATTACAAGGAATAATATAATAATTTGTCATTTTTGGCACACATTTTCAACAAATTGCAACCGTATTACTTTAACAAAGTGATGTTGCGTAAAGTATAAAAATTCTGAATGACGCGTATCGTTATGGCTTAACAAGGAACAAAAGAATTACCACGAAGAAAAAGGTCACAAAACGCAACAATTTTTCCAATGAATAAAACGTAATAAACAAGATAAATATAATGATGATTCAAGAAGCTATACACAATTACGTCGAACTTAAAAGGAAAACAAAGATATTAAATTTTGTTTGTAACTTCGGTTAAATATAATTGTCAAAATGAAATAATAAAAATAACTTCAAATATCTTACCAATTCTATAAAATACTTGTTAGAGAATTGTCAGGAGGAAGTATGACTCGCAACGTAACAGAAGATACGTTGCGCTAAGGTCGACTCGACGGACTACTAATGGACTGTTAAGAGCGCATCTCTTTTGTCCATATTGTATATTCTCCCCTACTACGTGATTCACTACTGTTTTGACTTCTATGGTTCCCAACTTGCAGATATAAACAATATTATTTATTATCTTTTTAATTATTTATTTTTGATCAAGTTAAAGGTATTTTCAAATACTTTAAATATTTTATACACAGAAATTTGTCTTTATTAAAATATATACTGTATTCTAAACCTTGTCTTCTATTAACTTTTTTCTTATCTGACGCCATTAGTCATATAATAGATACAAGTTCACAATAAGTTTTCTTCAATTAAGAAGAAATTAAGCAAAAGGCAAGACTGACGTGAGAAAGATTTAAAAGGCGAATTTTTTATACATGTACCGACACCGAATGATTTTAATATTCTTTCAATAAGTTGTCGGTGTCATGGTTTTCAAAAATCGACGAAAAATTTTAATTTCTAAAATATTTTCGAAAAACTGTTACTACTATCACACTGAAATCTATGCATATCTACATATTTATGGCGGTATATGAGTCAGCATGGAATTGCCACTACTCTATTGTTTTTACAAATGCACACATCGCAGCGACCGAAAATTATGTATAACGGGTGAACTTAACAACCAAACTTATTTGAAACGACTGAAATACTGTTCTGACTTAACTTAATCTATTATGTTTTATGTTTTCATACTTTTAATTTAAACGATGTGTAAATATAGAAAAAAAAAGAATAAAAGTAATAATGAAGTTGACTCAAAAAGTATAAATATTAAGAATGTTTAATACTGTCTATATCCTAAAAAACAACAACAACTAAATGTTTCATATCACTTTTCTATGCATACATCTGGATTATAAGTATTTTATTCCTTCTTTCAAGTTTCTTTATAATCGAAAGAAACATAACTTTGACAAACATATTATGCAATAATATTAAATCTCTGAATTACTGTTATCTAATTTAAACGTAACAAAAATTTTCAAATTTCTATATAAATTATGAAAGAGTTTAGAATTATAATTTGATGTAGATTTTTAAAACATGACAAAAGAATGTAACGAATTGAGAAACACTGAAGAATCAAATATCATACTGCTTTTATCTGCTCATACGCATTCCTATACATTTACTCTCGTTATTTAGTGTAACTCGATTCGAATACGATTATTCATTATTCGTTATATGTTGGAATTGTCATGTGATTTTGATAAATGTTTAGCAACCCACATTTTAAACGCATGTCTGTGCGCAAAGGATGCATTTTTATCATAGCCGATGATTAAGCATTCTTTTGATTTTATAACCTACGGACTTTATTCAAATCGTATTTGTCCTATGACATTCTTTACTTTGTTTCGTTGCTTTCTAAAAGCTGATAATTTATGATTATTTTATTATCTCCACTTTATTCATTTACTGAAATTATTTAATCGTTTGTAATTCTTTAAAACAATTTATTTGTATTGCGATTAAATATTTTGATTATAATGTTCCAAAAATAAAAAGTATCTTTACTAATCAATAATTAATGATATATTCTATTCAGTTATGGAATTTTGAAGCTTTTCAACATGCAATTCAATGTTCCAATTTATTTTGTTAATAATACATTTTTAAATTTTCTTGCTTACAACCTGGTATACAAAGTTTCTTTGTATGTACACGACAATATTATATGGTATATACATATATATATATCTTATATAAGTTCAGTATTCGACACTACTGTGTAACGTAAACTTTAGATTGAAAAATGGGATCAAATAAAATGGATTTCTATGATGTCTCGCCAAAAATGCGAGAAGTAATAGAATGGAGAGATGCAAGAAAAAAGGTTTTACGTGAACAATATTTAAAAGAAATACTCCATCCAACGAAGCAGTCGATAGTTGTACGTATCACACGTAACCTCAATTGGTTGACACGAAATATTATGAAAAGAATAACAATAAAAATGATAGAATTTAACTTTAACCTTGTCAATTTTATTCTTTTCTTATTTAAAACATACAGGCTGATGAGGCATTTGACAGATATAATGTTCTAAGACTTACGCAAGAGTATCACACAAAAATGACTGGTAAAGTTCTATTAGTATGTGGACTTGTTACAGTTGCATTTGCAGGATTTGCAGCACTATTTACACGACAAAAGGTAAATTAATTCTTAAATTTTGGAAAGTAGATTTTAAAAATAATAGGAATAATTATTAAATTGTTTTCATGTTACAGTCGAAGCAAGAACATCGTATTCGTACTGGTCAAATAAGTTATGCCGATAGAGAATTTAAATTTATATAAATTTATACTTTGACAGTGTATTTGTAATAGTAAAATTTGTACATTTAAATCTTTGTTTGTCATTCAATATATATGTACATATACTGGAACATGAACTATGTCATGTATATTAAATTATGTTGAGTAAAGCAATTACTTTGTAATAAACATAATAGAACAATGGTTTCAAGTATTTAGTCTTATACAGTTTTAATGTTGTCTTTGTTCTTTATGGGATCACAGAAATGCTAAGAACGACTTTTTTACTTGTTTTGTTTAAAAAAAAAAAAAAAAACGAAAAAAGAAAAAGGGTTAATAAAATATTAATCATTTTTCAATTTTATTTGCAAAACTTTCCATGTATGACCAGTTTTTCTTTACCGGATATTAAATTATCGATCTTCAAGCTGCTTATCTCGAGTAACAACTGCATCATCGAATTTCACCATATACGTTGTTCCTTTATGCCAGTGTGCAGTTACTTTTGCTGTCTATAAATATAAATAAAGATTTATAGAATTTCTTTGTTACTAAATTATAATTTCATGATATAAGTTTAAATAGTTGTATTTCTGTAAAATAATATTATAAATAATATTGTAAATCTGTTATACCTATATTGTATCTACATTGTAAAAATGTATAATTTAACCAATAATTTTACAATGAAGTATAAATTTATCAACTACTAGCGTATGTTTAAATTGTGTAATATAAATATGTATTTATACAATTTAATACTTACAAAACCACAGTCACAAAGAATAGCTTCAACTATTCCAGCAATAAAAGAGGCACAATTCAAACTTCCTTTATCTTTTGGAACTGATATAAACTTGTTTACTAAAGCTTCTTTTTCTATGATGTAATAAGTACGTTCATCATCATTTGCATGTTCTAATTTGTCAGCCTCCCGACCAAATAATGATTTCCATACTGTACTTTTAATAAACAACAAGATGTTCAATAGTTTTATCTCACGTTTTCCACCTTTTTCTCGAACAACGAGTAAATCTGTTATTCTGTGACCAACCTCTGCACCTAATTCTGCCAATCTAACCCACAAATATGAAATTATTAATTTTATGTAACTATATTTCATTGATGCTGATCGGTTACGTACTTATTTTGTAACTCTGGTACAGTGTAAACTCGATTTTGACAGTACTGTACTAGTTCTGAAAATAACAGGGCAAAACAACTTAAGCTAACCTCTCCTTTGCCTTTACTTAATGATTTGTCAAGAATACTAGTTCGTGTTCGAACTGCCGATATTGTAATACTCGTCATTTCTATCGAATAATCGTTGATCACAATAACTTTTCAACTTTTGCAAAAATGTGACTTATATGAATAACTGAATCAATGACATTTAACTTGTTTTCTTATCACTTCGCCATCTGAAAGTGGAATAAAGAATTAAGTATCAAGAAGCAATAGTGGCTACTCTTTATTCTGCAATCACTGCAAGCATTACAACATGTCAAGTAGAGTTATGATTACAATGTATGTGTTTTCTGACAAACAGTTCCCAGATATTCTTCGAATTATATTATTTATTTAATTGTTCTAATATATTTGTCAAGAAATACTTCCATTGTAATTATGGCCAAAAAACAGAGTTTGATACAAACATGAACTTTTATCATCACTCCTTCAAAAAACATTATTACCTGTTTTTTCTTTTTTTTTTTATTTAAATTTTATTCATACGTTAATATTTCAAATCCTCTTCCATAAACACACAAAAATGGCTTATCTCTAAAATAAATAGACACTTTAATATTAATATTAAATTGGTATTGAGAATATTGAAATACATTTAAGTTGTAAACATACTTTGAATTATAACATAAAGTTAGACCTTTTACATCTGTTACAAATGTGAAGATTTTCTTTAAAACTGTTACACATAAACAATCATTATTAAAGCTATAATTATACATAATGACTTGTTGATCCATTCCAACACTAAAAATTTTATCTTCATAAAATTTTACTCCTATAACATAACACATTATTGATAAATTTTGTATATTTATACTATTAATCATACTAAAAGTAGCAATTATTTATACTAGCATACCTGTAATTTGTGCAAAATGTGTAGTGGACGTACACCATTTTGATAACAATGAAACGTATAACTGTTGATCTTTGCCTGATGTTTCAATTTTAAAACGAATAATGTTAAATAAATTGTCGTCACCACCAGTTGCCAAAAGATATTCGTCTTTTCCAATTGCTTTTAAGTCATATGAATTAATTCCAGATTGATGTAAATTAAATTTCGCAACAGATACATCTATATAGTTCTGAAATTCTTGCTTCTCACAATGCGGCTCTTGTATAATTTTTAAAACGATATCAGTGAAATCAATAAAACGAATGATTCCATCAGTTGACATAGTTAATGCAATTACCTTCTCTTCATATGTTAAGACAGTTGTTTTTACTATGCAACGAATTGCGCATTTTGCATGTATTTTTAACGAAATACGTTTTGTTTTAGTATTGTACAAAAATATTCTGTAAACAATATTTAACCACACATTTAAATATGCAATATTATTAAAAATGAATTTAATGTTATTTAAATCTGAGAAAATATGTTAAAATTTTATTTTTATGGACTGCGAAACTATTGAAGTACATATGTTTGTATAGTATTTATAATAAATGTTATTAATAAAAAGCAAAAGTATACCTTACAAAGCCATCTGCGCATGCAACGAAAAGCAATACGCAATGTAAGCTTGTAGTACTATGATAAATTTCAGCATCCATGTAACGGGTTTCAGGTTCTACGATGTAAGACCGATTAGACTCCTGACATTGTTTTTTACGATATCGATCAAATCCGTACAACATATGAGATGTAACGTCATGACAAGAAATATCTATACTTTGTAATGATTTTTTGCTATCGTTTATATTAATTTCCCACACTTTTATTTGGGCCCTTCCACCCCCAGAAAAAACAAGATGTTTATTGCGGGAAGAATTAAATTGCAAACTTAAGGAAGTTATAAATTTTACTGTGGAAATGTGGCCATCAAAAATACCTAATGTTTGTAAGCACAAATTATTTTTTACTAATGTACTGAAGACATGAGAAATATGAAGAGTACCATCTTCTCCTCCAGATATAAACACGTTTTGCATGTTTGTGTTTAATACAGGGTTAATGAAATTTACTTCTTTTGTATGAAAACCATTCTGAAAGTTTAAACACAAAAATTGTATAATAAAATAATGACTAATTGATATGGAAGAATACAGATACATAGCTTACCAATAAAACCGGGGTTTTTAAAGCAGCTAACGGAAAATCAAATATATATACTTGTTTATTACGAATATAAAGAAATGAAACAAGTTCGTTTAGTACAATACAATCCCATGATCTATGACCACCACCACAAGGAACTCTTGTTACGATTCTACGATAAAACATGCTATATACTAAGAATTCCGTCTGAAAATAATAACAGAAAAAGTGATTCAAACGTAGAATATAAAATTATTAATTACATTGTACTTTATTAAATATCTAATTACTTCTTTGAATCCCAATATGAAAATGTCGTCAGATACTTTTAAACTGCCACTAATCCAATCCATTGGCATTTTTTCCGAATGTAAAGTGCATAAAGATTTTGTGTTTTGATGTTCAGTTATTTCATAAAATCGTAACGTTCCATCACGACCTCCTGATATTAATTTTGAATGTAAAACTATAAAATTTTGAATACCTATCTTTCCATGAACTTTAGGAAAAGTTTGAATAGGTTTGTTATTTATTTTAAGTATATTTGTCTCATCATTCGAATTATATTTTTGAACCTCAAAAACATGCATATTTCCAGCTCTATCTCCACATATCAACACATGTTCATATAATATTGCTGCTGTCAACCAACGCTCTCGACATTGTGGTAACAAGCCCATTGATTGAATAGTTACTGATCCTATATAAAAAAAGAAAATGAAAACTATAATCAATTTCGACAATAACTTATATTGTATTCTTTGCACATACCCTCCATAGTAAAACTGAATATCTTCAGAACACCATTTAAGCCACAAGCTACCAGGTTATTGTTTCCTAACCATTGTATAGAGAGTATTTGTGATTCCATTATTTTTTCTTCCACAATTAATTGTAGTATTTTGTTAGTTGTAATATCAGCTTCTATAAGTATTTGACATAGATTACTTAGTGATTGATACTATTTTATTAATATTTATTATCTGACAATGAGTATTATTATTCTGCATTTATTGATGCTTTTACCTTTATATATTGCTATATATCCATCTTTTGATGCAAAACAAACATAAGAATGGCATAGTGAAACTTGCATAATGCAATATGTATTAAACCTTTCAAGATACAAAAACTCTTTTGGATTACTTTGCCACCTATCATAGATGTACAAAATCCCGTTTTCATTAAAAATTAAGAAATTACCACTTTTTAAGTAACAATTATATTTTGGCAAAATAGATATATGCTGTCTAGGTACTAGTGTAATTGGTTGGATATAATCACTGGGGAAAGGCCATGCATGAACTGCGCCATCAGCTCCACCAGTAAAGATGCTTTTGTTATCACTTGATATGTCAATGCTCCATATCGCAGCTCCATGATGTGCACAAATTTTATTAATCAATTTACCATCTAATGACCAAGTACACATGAGAGAATCCTAAAAATCGAAAAATATGAATATGCATTATATTGTTTACAGTACATTACATAATACATATGCATGATAATTACTTCTCCTATGGTAATTAAAGTCTCATTTCTTATTATAGATTTCCATACTCTTGCTGTATGACCAAACATTGTTTTTTTTAATTTAATTTTGACATCTTTCCAAATTATATGATTTTTATTGGTTTCATTGCTATTCACTTCCCATAATCTGACTGTTCTATCATCAGATGTAGAACAGATAAGTTGAGTAACTGAATCATATATGACCGAAAAGATTACTCCCTAGAGAGAATTCAATGTTTACATTTTTAAATTTAAATATTTTATTTGAAACAACACATTACTTTAAAAGAGTGTAATACTAACATTATGTCCATGCAAACGATGTAAAATAGGTGAAATTTCAGTACATGAAGAACTATAATTTATTTCCCATATTAATATTTCTTGATATACAGTTCCGCTAAAAATGATCAAGTCTTTTTGATTTTGGACTAACATTGATCCACCATACCTAATAATAAAGTCAAGTTTTGTAACATGTAATATTTATTCAAATATGTATATAGAAGGATACAGAATGCATTTTTCCTTGCACCATACATTTTGATAGTTTTTCTTGATGCAGTCATAAATGCATACGTTATTATGTGCTAATAAAACTGCTAAATACTCATATCCATCAAATGATAACCATTTCACTGTTATTATCCAATCATTAAGACAATTTTTACTAAATTCTTCTTTAACTCTAGATAAATGATAAAATTTAAATTATTATGTAATGTTTAACAAAAATCATTTAACTTACATTAATGTTTCTTGTTTTTTCTGAATATTATATCCACATAAAGAGTTAGCCCCAAATATAGATATCTTATTGTTAGGACCCTCAATAATTCCATGTATATTGTATGGATAAAGGCAATCGATTTTCTTTTCTAATTTGTAAGTGTCAATATCAAAAATATGTAATGTACAACCCACACCTATAATAATAAAAAAAACAGCTTAGGTGGTTAGGAATAATGTTAAAACTGTGAAAATATACTGTTTTATATTGAAGAGATTGGAGATTTTATTACAATGTTAACATAATACAAAGTTTGTGCATATACAACTAACCTACAAATACTAAATTATTTACACAGCGAATTGCAAGCACATCAGTACATAACAATTTTGAAATCATGTTGCGGAAGAAATGAATAATTTAGTACTAATAATTATAACCAAGTACAAAATTTTAACAGTTAATAGTTAACAGTACAATTGGTATGAAAAATTCTTTTCTCGCACAAAAGCGAGACACTGTTAAGTATCATACTGTTTGTATTTAAGTGTATATAAGTTTTTCATATATAAATAAATAAATATATATATATGTATATAGAATATGTATATATTTTATGTAATACAAATAACTGTCAATAACATTTTTTAGCATAAGTTAACGAACAACAGCGATCCACACAATTCACGCTGATCTAACACGCACTGTACATTGTACATTCTGGTAGACATTACACTCCATTCTCAATTCGTGTACATGACTACGTTTCCATCGAGGGTCCAAATCGGGTCAGAGTCGGGTTAGAGTTAAGTTGCCTTGCCTGTTTCCATGGGATCAGAGTTACGTTGGGGTTGGAGTTGGGTTGAACATTACCAACTGCACAAAGTCAACTACCATATTCTAACATGTAAAGCTGAGCAATATTAATTTTAGAATATCAAAATAACATACAAAAATTATTTCTCAGATTACAAGATCACCGACAAAAAGTAATAATAACCTCTTCTACACCAATTAATACA